CAATGTAACAGTGTTCAGGATATCAACACTTCCAATGAGTGCAACAATGTAACAGTGTTCAGGATATCAACACTTCCAATGAGTGCAACAATGTAACAGTGTCCAGGATATCAACACTTCAATGAGTGCAACAACGTAACAGTGTTCAGGGTATCAACACTTCCAATGAGTGCAACAATGTAACAGTGTTCAGGATATCAACACTTCTGAGTGCAACAATGTAACAGTGTCCAGGATATCAACACTTCTAATGAGTGCAACAATGTAACAGTGTCCAGGATATCAACACTTCTAATGAGTGCAACAATGTAACAGTGTCCAGGATATCAACAATGTTATCAAACTAAGGGAAGCACACAGGGTGAGTTGGGGGGGGGGGGGGGTTAAAGTAGACCTCCACTGACACAGGAAAATAAAGGGGAACCAATCAGGACAGAAAAGACAAATAGCTGAAAGGCTGATGCACATTTCCTGGGGAAAGGGCTGCTCTCTGCAGAGCTGCTCACATAGGAGAAGGCCTGGACACCTGATCAGATCTCCTCACATGTCACATGACCAGCACTGGAGGGAGACCAGAGCAGCATTTACACCAGGAGAGACATTTCATCTGACGACTCATTACGCCTCCATCCAAGAAAGCCTGTAATTACAGCTTCAGGCCAGGAGAGGTCCCTCTCCCCGATCCACAGATCACTGCTGTCTGAATGATCCCAGAGATCTCTATGGAGGACAAACAAATCAAAGAAAACTTCCTGCAGAGTGTTTAGTATGTTTACTACAAATACATAATATCCATTAATCAGCAAAAGTCTGAGCCAAGGAATGAGAATCCACCAGGATCCCTCATCGGATCCCGGCACAGGATCCCTCATCGGATCCCGGCACAGGATCCCTCATCAGGGATCCCGGCACAGGATCCCTCATCGGATCCCGGCACAGGATCCCTCATCGGATCCCGGCACAGGATCCCGGCACAGGATCCCATCGGATCCCGGCACAGGATCCCTCCTCATAAGGATCCCGGCACAGGATCCCTCATCGGATCCCCCGGCACAGGATCCCTCATCGGATCCCGGCACAGGATCCCTCATCGGATCCCAGCACAGGATCCCTCATCATCCCACGTCCCCTGTCACTCATACAGGGCTGGACAATCTTCAGATCCCAGCACAGGGTTCCTCATCAGATCCCAGCACAGGATCCCTCATCAGATCCCCACAGCACAGGATCCCTCATCAGATCCCAGCACAGGATCCCCTCATCATCCCTCACGTCCCCTGTCACTCATACAGGGCTGGACAATCTTCAGATCCCAGCACAGGATCCCTCATCAGATCCCAGCACAGGATCCCTCATCAGATCCCAGCACAGGGTCCCTCATCAGATCCCAGCACAAGGTCCCTCATCAGATCCCAGCACAGGATCCCTCATCAGATCCCAGCACAGGATCCCTCATCAGATCCCAGCACAGGATCCCTCATCAGATCCCAGCACAGATCCCAGCACAGGATCCCTCATCAGATCCCAGCACAGGATCCCTCATCAGATCCCAGCACAGGATCCCTCATCAGATCCCAGCACAGGATCCCTCATCAGATCCCAGCACAGGATCCCTCATCAGATCCCAGCACAGGATCCCTCATCAGATCCCAGCACAGGATCCTCATCCCCCCCCCCCAGCCAATGCAGCAATAATCCTCCCACCCTGTCCTAAAACATGTCTATCAGTCCACAGTGAACTGAGAAGAAATCTCCACCAGAAGCTGCAGAGAGGTCCTGGGGGGCTCCGGCCTTCTCCTCGGGATGGACATTTTTGCCATACCAGACTGCTGATTACAGACTAAAAAAACCAAAAGGAAAAGTAAGAGAGACGCTGAGAGAGAGCGAGCCGTGTGTACATGTCATTCTAGAATTCCCTGGACTGGCCAGAGGGAACGCTGCGCAACATGACCGCCGCTGCGCGCACCAACCGACCGCCGACATCCCATCCCACCCCTCACCAGAGTACACTCTATATACAACATGACCGCCGCTCTGCGCACCAACCGACCGACCGCCAACACCCATCCCACCCCTCACCAGAGTACACTCTATATACAACATGACCGCCGCTGTGCGCACCAACCGACCGCCCAACACCCATCCCACCCCTCACCAGAGTACACTCTATATACAACATGACCGCCGCTGTGCGCACCGACCGACCGCCGACACCGCCGACACCCATCCCACCCCCTCACCAGAGTACACTCTATATACAACATGACCGCCGCTGCGCGCACCGACCGACCGACCGCCGACACCCATCCCACCCCTCACCAGAGTACACTCTATATACAACATGACCGCCGCTGCGCGCACCGACCGACCGACGACACCCATCCCACCCCTCACCAGAGTACACTCTATATACAACATGACCGCCGCTGCGCGCACCGACCGACCGCCACACCCATCCCACCCCTCACCAGAGTACACTCTATATACAACATGACCGCCACTGTGCGCACCAACCGATGACCGCCGACACCGATCCCACCCCTCACCAGAGTACACTCTATATACAACATGAGCGCCGCTGCGCGCAGCAACCGACTGCAGCCACTGATCCCACCCCCCTCACCAGAGTACACTCTATTTACAACATGACCGCCGCTGCGCGCGCACCAACCGACCGCCGACACCCACCACCCCCACCCCACCCCTTATCAGAGTACACTCTATATACAACATGACCGCACCGCTGCGCGCACCGACCGAACGCCAACACCGATCCCATCCCACCCCTCACCAGAGTACACTCTATTTACAACATGACCGCCGCTGTGCGCACCGACCGAACGCCAACACACCCATCCCACCCCTCACCAGAGTACACTCTATATACAACATGACCACCGCTGTGCGCACCAACTGACCGCCGACACCACCGATCCCACCCCTCACCAGAGTACACTCTATATACAACATGACCGCCGCTGCGCGCACACGACGACCGACCCACCGACACCCATCCCATCCCACCCCTCACCAGAGTACACTCTATATACAACATGACCGCCACTGTGCGCACCCAACCGACCGCCGACACCGATCCCATCCCACCCCTCACCAGAGTACATTCTATATACAACATGACCGCCGCTGTGCGCACCAACTGACCGCCGACACCGATCCCACCCCTCACCAGAGTACACTCTATATACAACATGACCGCCGCTGTGCGCACCAACCGAACGCAGCCACCGATCCCACCCCTCACCAGAGTACACTCTATATACAACATGACCGCCGCTGTGCGCACCAACCGACCGCCGACACCGATCCCATCCCACCCACCCCTCACCAGAGTACACTCTCTATATACAACATGACCGCGCTGCGCGCACCGACCGACCGCCGACACCCATCCCACCCCTCACCAGAGTACACTCTATATACAACATGACCGCCGCTGTGCGCACCAACCGAACGCAGCCACCGATCCCATCCCACCCCTCACCAGAGTACACTCTATATACAACATGACCGCCGCTGCGCGCACCAACCGACCGCCGACGCCGACACCCATCCCACCCCTCACCAGAGTACACTCTATATACAACATGACCGCCGCTGTGCGCACCAACACCGACCGCCAACAACCAAACCCACCCCTCACCAGAGTACACTCTATTTACAACATGACCGCCGCTGTGCGCACCGACCGACCGCCGACACCGATCCCATCCCACCCCTCACCAGAGTACACTCTATATACAACATGACCGCCGCTGTGCGCACCAACCGACCGCCGACACCCATCCCACCCCTCACCAGAGTACACTCTATATACAACATGACCGCCGCTGTGCGCACCAACCGACCCACCGACACCCATCCCACCCCTCACCAGAGTACACTCTATTTACAACATGACCGCCGCTGTGCGCACCGACCGACCGACCGCCGACACCGATCCCATCCCACCCCTCACCAGAGTACACTCTATATACAACATGACCGCCACTGTGCGCACCGACCGACCGCCGACACCCATCCCACCCCTCACCAGAGTACACTCTATATACAACATGACCGCCGCTGCGCGCACCGACCGACCCCCGAACCACCGACACCCATCCCACCCCTCACCAGAGTACACTCTATATACAACATGACCGCCGCTGTGCGCACCGACCGACCGCCAACACCAAACCCACCCCTCACCAGAGTACACTCTATTTACAACATGACCGCCGCCGCTGTGCGCACCGACCGACCGCCGACACCGATCCCATCCCACCCCTCACCAGAGTACACTCTATATACAACATGACCGCCGCTGCTGCGCACCAACCACCGACCGACCGCCGACACCCATCCCACCCCTCACCAGAGTACACTCTATATACAACATGACCGCCGCTGTGCGCACCGACCGACCGCCGACACCGATCCCATCCCACCCCTCACCAGAGTACACTCTATATACAACATGACCGCCGCTGCGCGCACCAACCGACCGCCGACACCCATCCCACCCCTCACCAGAGTACACTCTATATACAACATGACCGCCGCTGCGCGCACCGACCGACCGCCGACACCCATCCCATCCCACCCCTCACCAGAGTACACTCTATTTACAACATGACCGCCGCTGTGCGCACCAACCGACCGCCGACACCGATCCCATCCCACCCCTCACCAGAGTACACTCTATATACAACATGACCGCCGCTGCGCGCACCAACCGACCGCCCGCCGACAATCCCACCCCTCACCAGAGTACACTCTATTTACAACATGACCGCCGCTGTGCAAACCACAGATCACCCCCCACACCCCCCACCAAAATACAGCCTATATTCAAGACTTCATCATTACGGATTTCTATACGATATGTATTACTTCTATTTTATATATAAATGATTGCACATATTGGGGGAACATGTAATAATGGGCCCCGCGGGTGTAGAGACCCGGACATAGAACAGGGATGGTGGGAACCCCTCATAATGGGCACAGCGGGGGTACAGACCCGGGAACTCAGCACAGGGATGGGGGGAACCCTTCATAATGGGCACAGCGGGTGTACAGACCCGGGAACTCAGCACAGGGATGGGGGGAACCCCTCATAATGGGCACAGCGGGTGTACAGACCCAGGAACTCAGCACAGGGATGGGGGGAACCCCTCATAATAGGCACAGCGGGTGTACAGACCCGGGAACTCAGCACAGGGATGGTGGGAACCCCTCATAATGGGCACAGCAGGTGTACAGACCTGGGACATAGAACAGGGATGGTGGGAACCCCTCATAATGGGCACAGCGCGGGTGTACAGACCCGGGAACTCAGCACAGGGATGGGGGGGAACCCCTCATAATGGGCACAGCGGGTGTACAGACCCAGGAACTCAGCACAGGGATGGGGGAACCCCTCATAATGGGCACAGCGGATGTACAGACCCGGGAACTCAGCGCAGGGATTTCACCAGTCGAGTGTGTCTGGCACACAGAAGTGACAGTTGGGAGGTGTAATTCTCCCACATTTGTAATAAGTTTCGGGTAGAGAATGTCTGTAAGAAGAAAGGCTGATCATCATGGGGCCCCGCATTGGCCTGCAGCGAGTTGAAGGAGACTCTCCACCTGAGTCATATATAATGGAGGAGGTAACAGAACACGGCTGAATTCTATTACAATGTTGGTGATCTGGTTACAGCATCCAGTGGAGGTGGGGGGGGGGGGGCACTGTGCATGAAAGAGGAGGGTGGGGACATTGGGAAGGGAGAAGACCAAAGTATTGGGGGGGTACACATGTATGGGGGTCATTCTGTGTGCAGTGCGACTCTCATGGGATCTCCCATCTTCTATGAGTAGCTGGAGCGCCGTACCCTCCAGTAGAGGGGACAGTAGAGGACGCCCCGCGGAGCGCCGTACCCTCCAGTAGCGGTGACAGTAGAGGACGCCCCGCGGAGCGCCGTACCCTCCAGTAGAGGGGACAGCAGAGGACGCCCCGCGGAGCGCCGTACCCTCCAGTAGAGGGGACAGCAGAGGACGCCCCGCGGAGCGCCGTACCCTCCAGTAGAGGGGACAGCAGAGGACGCCCCGCGGAGCGCCGTACCCTCCAGTAGCGGTGACAGCAGAGGACGCCCCGCGGAGCGCCCTACCGTCCAGTAGAGGGGACAGCAGAGGACGCCCCGCGGAGCGCCGTACCCTCCAGTAGCGGTGACAGCAGAGGACGCCCCGCGGAGCGCCCTACCCTCCAGTAGAGGGGACAGTAGAGGACGCCCCGCGGAGCGCTGTACCCTCCAGTAGAGGGGACAGTAGAGGACGCCCCGCGGAGCGCCGTACCCTCCAGTAGCGGTGACAGCAGAGGACGCCCTGCGGAGCGCCGTACCCTCCAGTAGCAGTGACAGTAGAGGACGCCCCGCGGAGCGCCGTACCCTCCAGTAGCAGTGACAGCAGAGGACGCCCCGCGGAGCGCCGTACCCTCCAGTAGCGGTGACAGCAGAGGACGCCCCGCGGAGCGCCGTACCCTCCAGTAGCGGTGACAGTAGAGTACGCCCCGCGGAGCGCCGTACCCTCCAGTAGCAGTGACAGCAGAGGACGCCCCGCGGAGCACCCTACCGTCCAGTAGAGGGGACAGTAGAGGACGCCCCGCAGAGCGCCGTACCCTCCAGTAGAGGGGACAGCAGAGGACGCCCCGCGGAGCGCCGTACCCTCCAGTAGCAGTGACAGGAGAGGACGCGCCGCGCTCTTCCAGACACCAGACGCTGCAATTGTTTAGACTCCGTCCTCAGCTTCACAGCATTGTTAGAGAGACAAAGACTTCCTTCAGCGGGGGGGGGGGGGGGGGGGGGGACAGGGAAGGTCACAAGAGTCCTATTTATATTTCCCCATTTCTACCACATTACCCCCCCCCCCCCTCTGCAACAAGGGGGGGCCACTATGTCCTATATTATGGAGGACTCCGCTCACCAACAGACCCTTCAGTCATTGGTCAATGCAAAACCCCGACAGTGACTTCTGTCCTGACATTATATTCGTGGGAACCTTACACTGAGGTAAGAGGGGTTCCCACCATCCCTGTGTGAGTTCCTGGGTCTGTACCCCTGCTGTGCCCATTATGAGGGGTTCCCACCATCCCTGTGCTGAGTTCCTGGGTCTGTACCCCTGCTGTGCCCATTATGAGGGGTTCCCACCATCCCTGTGCTGAGTTCCCCCGGGTCTGTACACCCGCTGTGCCCATTATGAGGGGTTTCCCACCATCCCTGTGCTGAGTTCCCGGGTCTGTACACCCGCTGTGCCCATTATGAGGGGTTCCCACCACCCCTGTGCTGAGTTCCTAGGTCTGTACCCCTGCTGTGCCCATTATGAGGGGTTCCCCCATCCCTGTGCTGAGTTCCTGGGTCTGTACACCAGTTGGGTGATCCTGTGCAGAGTAGAAGTGTGCGGGTCCAGGGTGGCGGTTTGTGGGTGGAGCGGGGGGCGCTCGCGCTGTGCAGAGTAGAAGTGTGTGGGTCCAGGGTGGCGTTTGTGGGTGGAGCGGGGGGTGATCCAGTGGTAGGGAAGTGTGTGGGTCCAGGGTGGCGGTTGTGGGTGGAGCGGGGGGTGATCCTGTGCAGAGTAGAAGTGTGTGGGTCCAGGGTGGCGGTTGTGGGTGGAGCGGGGGGTGATCCTCTGCAGAGTAGAAGTGTGCGGGTCCAGGGTGGCGGTTGTGGGTGGAGCGGGGGGTGATCCTGTGTAGGGTAGAAGTGTGTGGGTCCAGGGTGGCGGTTGTGGGTGGAGCGGGGGGTGATCCTCTGCAGAGTAGAAGTGTGCGGGTCCAGGGTGGCCGTTGTGGGTGGAGCGGGGGGTGATCCTGTGTAGAGTAGAAGTGTGCGGGTCCAGGGTGTTGGTTGTGGGTGGAGCGGGGGGTGATCCTGTGCAGAGTAGAAGTGTGCGGGTCCAGGGTGGTGGTTGTGGGTGGAGCGGGGGGTGACCCTGTGTAGAGTAGAAGTGTGTGGGTCCAGGGTGGCGGTTGTGGGGTGGAGCGGGGGGGTGATCCTGTGTAGAGTAGAAGTGTGCGGGTCCAGGGTGGCGGTTGTGGGTGGAGCGGGGGGCGCTCGCTGTGCAGAGTAGAAGTGTGTGGGTCCAGGGTGGCGGTGTGGGTGGAGCGGGGGGTGATCCTGTGTAGAGTAGAAGTGTGTGGGTCCAGGGGTGGCGGTTGTGGGTGGAGCGGGGGGGTGATCCCTGTGTAGAGTAGAAGTGTGTGGGTCCAGGGTGGCGGTTGTGGGTGGAGCGGGGGGGTGATCCTGTGCAGAGAAGTGTGCGGGTCCAGGGTGGCGGTTGTGGGTGGAGCGGGGGGTGATCCTGTGCAGAGAAGTGTGCGGGTCCAGGGTGGCGGTTGTGGGTGGAGCGGGGGGTGATCCTGTGTAGAGTAGAAGTGTGCGGGTCCAGGGTGGCGGTTGTGGGTGGAGCGGGGGGCGCTCGCTGTGCAGAGTAGAAGTGTGTGGGTCCAGGATGGCGGTTGTGGGTGGAGGAGGGGGGGTGATCCTGTGTAGAGTAGAAGTGTGCGGGTCCCAGGGTGGCGGTTGTGGGTGGAGCGGGGGGTGATCCTGTGTAGAGTAGAAGTGTGCGGGTCCAGGGTGGCGGTTGTGGGTGGAGCGGGGGCACTGATCCTGTGCAGAGTAGAAGTGTGCGGGTCCAGGGTGGCGGTTGGGGGTGGAGCGGGGGGGTGATCCTGTGCAGAGTAGAAGTGTGCGGGTCCAGGGTGGCGGTTGTGGGTGGAGCGGGGGGCGCTCGCTGTGCAGAGTAGAAGTGTGCGGGTCCAGGGAGGCGGTTGGGGGTGGAGCGGGGGGTGATCCTGTGTAGAGTAGAAGTGTGCGGGTCCAGGGTGGCGGTTGTGGGTGGAGGGGGGTGATCCTGTGCAGAGTAGAAGTGTGCGGGTCCAGGGTGGCGGTTGTGGGTGGAGCGGGGGGGTGATCCTGTGTAGGGTAGAAGTGTGCGGGTCCAGGGTGGCGGTTGTGGGTGGAGCGGGGGGTGATCCTGTGCAGAGTAGAAGTGTGCGGGTCCAGGGTGGCGGTTGTGGGTGGAGCGGGGGGTGATCCTGTGCAGAGTAGAAGTGTGCGGGTCCAGGGTGGTGGTTGTGGGTGGAGCGGGGGGGCGCTCGCTGTGCAGAGTAGAAGTGTGCGGGTCCAGGATGGCGGTTGTGGGTGGAGGGGGGGTGATCCTGTGTAGGTAGTGAAGTGTGTGGGTCCAGGGTGGTGGTTGTTGTGGGTGGAGCGGGGGGTGATCCTGTGCAGAGTAGAAGTGTGTGGGTCCAGGGTGGCGGTTGTGGGTGGAGCGGGGGGGCTCGCTGTGCAGAGTAGAAGTGTGTGGGTCCAGGATGGCGGTTGTGGGTGGAGCGGGGGGGCGCTGATCCTGTGCAGAGTAGAAGTGTGTGGGTCCAGGGTGGCGGTTTGTGGGTGGAGCGGGGGGTGATCCTGTGCAGAGTAGAAGTGTGTGCGGGTCCAGGGTGGCGGTTGTGGGTGGAGCGGGGGGTGATCCTGTGCAGAGTAGAAGTGTGCGGGTCCAGGGTGGCGGTTGTGGGTGGAGCGGGGGGTGATCCTGTGCAGAGTAGAAGTGTGCGGGTCCAGGGTGGCGGTTGTGGGTGGAGCGGGGGGTGATCCTGTGCAGAGAAGTGTGTGGGTCCAGGGTGGCGGTTGTGGGTGGAGCGGGGGGTGATCCTGTGCAGAGTAGAAGTGTGCGGGTCCAGGGTGGCGGTTGTGGGTGGAGCGGGGGGTGATCCTGTGCAGAGTAGAAGTGTGCGGGTCCAGGGTGGCGGGTTGTGGGTGGAGCGGGGGGTGATCCTGTGCAGTAGAAGTGTGCGGGTCCAGGGTGGCGGTTGTGGGTGGAGCGGGGGGTGATCCTGTGCAGAGTAGAAGTGTGCGGGTCCAGGGTGGCGGTTGTGGGTGGAGCGGGGGGGTGATCCTGTGCAGAGAAGTGTGCGGGTCCAGGGTGGCGGTTGTGGGTGGAGCGGGGGGTGATCGCTGTGCAGAGTAGAAGTGTGCGGGTCCAGGGTGGCGGTTGTGGGTGGAGCGGGGGGTGATCCTGTGCAGAGTAGAAGTGTGCGGGTCCAGGGTGGCGGTTGTGGGTGGGAGCGGGGGGTGATCCTGTGCAGTAGAAGTGTGCGGGTCCAGGGTGGCGGTTGTGGGTGTGGAGCGGGGGGGTGATCCTGTGCAGAGTAGAAGTGTGCGGGTCCAGGGTGGCGGTTGTGGGTGGAGCGGGGGGTGATCCTGTGCAGAGTAGAAGTGTGCGGGTCCAGGGTGGCGGTTGTGGGTGGAGCGGGGGGTGATCCTGTGCAGAGAGTAGAAGTGTGCGGGTCCAGGGTGGCGGTTGTGGGTGGAGCGGGGGGTGATCCTGTGCAGAGAAGTGTGCGGGTCCAGGGTGGCGGTTGTGGGTGGAGCGGGGGGTGATCCTGTG